ATAACACGTCTTACATGGTGTATTTTTTCTCTTATTCATGCATATACATACAAGATATAAACACCCGTATGGATAATTTTGTACAATTCTGTCTATAATGTACTTCATTAAAACAAAATAAATAAACGGTTTCGAAAAAAATATATATAGTGAATGTGACTATTGAAAGAAAGAGAATTTTTACACTGAAATTGTACATTTTACATTGAATGAATATTTCATAGTGTTAAAATATTCAATAATTTGTAGATATCAATGCCAAAGTTGAACTTGATGGTATCAAAGAAATTGAACATTGAGTAAAAAGTTAATAATAAGTATATATCCCAATGAATATTCTTGACGTTTCGTCACTTCATGTAAGACACTTCTTCTTCTTCAGCTGTTCTTGAATTTATGGATTAGTAAAAGATAAGCTTCCCTTTTTGGAAAAGTCAATGTTCAGAGTAGATCATATTAACAGCACAGAACGAGCTCTCTAAAGACTTGTGTTAAAACATTATCCTTCTTGGTTATCAAAAGTATCACTTGAGTCTTGATTGTTAAACATGTCCTAAACACCGGCCATATCAGTTCATCAGAATCTTTCCTAAACTTTTTATCACTCAAGTCAAAGGAAGGATTTAAAAAGATTATAATTCAAAAGAGACTAGATTCACACCTAATTCATTCTGATCTCTGTGTATGCAAGCAATTTGTTCAATCTCTCATCCTACCATGGTTTTAACGACTCTTTATATCTTTCATGTTCAATAAATTATCGTTGTCACTCCTTCATTATATCATCATAGTTATTAATTAGCTTTTCAGTTACAACGTTCATTTTTTATGCACTTCACGTTCACTAAGTGGACAATTATATTTCTTCTACAAAATATCATTATCTTGAACACGTTTTCATTAGTCGTCAGATGATTACATAACTTCTTTTTTTACGTTTGTTATTTACAAACAATTTATCAACAGTTTCTTAATATTCTTCAAGTTGACAACTATTTTTCATCTCTAATTTATTTCTACTCCCATCAATTACGTAATTTCTTTTAATATTTTTCACTCCATTTATATACAATACAACATTTAATTATAGTCTGTATTCTAATATAATATAAATATGAATTGGCAGTTGAATTCATGAGTCGATTTAGGCTAAATCACCATTGAAAACCTAGAAGCACTGAACATCCGTTTCGTCCCAGTATGGGACTCTGGGGTAGTGAGCGTCCACGATCCTGCGAACGAGACTCGAACCCAACACCTTTCGTCTAGCGTGCGAACACTTAATCTCTAGGACAAAACGGCTGTCCAGTGACTACAGGTTTTTAATGTTGGTTTAGCTTAAATCGATTCATAAATTCAACTACTGAATTACTACAATCTCCACAAACCCCGATTCTGATCATAAATATGATTGTATAGTTTTAATAAATGATATCATCATGAAGAATATTTTCGTTTTCAAACTGTCATTATTTGTTCTTAAATAAATTGCTCACTTTTTATGGGTAATGGTAATGGTTGTTTCATACAACTTTCAAAATTTCTTATCAGTAAAATGAATATAATGAAAACGTCAAACCGAGAGAATGTAGAAGCTGTGATTAGCAAATGAAAGTTGCTTTGATCGGTCACATAAGACCGTGACATTAATCAACTGAATCATCAAGAAATTTGATATAAAAAAACTTGATACATTTTTATCTGAAATACACTACAACCAAAGCAGTGATATAATGTATGAAAATGTTAAATCATGAATAGTCAAGTATGTTACACAATACATATTCGTACATGATGTTGATTCACATAGACTAGTGATCACATTATAAATTATTTGATAGAATTTGACCAATACTAAAAAAGAATTACATAAACATAATATTGGTCATTCAACTCAATGATCAGTGCTAGTTGTAAACAGTTAATGATAAGAATTTTCACAGATTGAAATCATGAGTCAGTTGAAGCTAGACCACCATGGAAAACCTGGAAGCACTAGACGGCCGTTTCGCCGTATTGTAGGACTCCTCAGCTGATATTAATAAACATATACTCACTAGTGACTGGCTTCAAGAGGTATTTACTAGAGTTTTAGTGAGAAGAAGTGACCAGTGGGGTTCAACTTGGTCTTTTGTGAGATAGTAACTCACTGAAGGCAATAGTGAATGTGTCACTCTATTTCGTGGATTAGTTGAAGTTGAACATTAACACTGTTGGATGCCGGCTCAGCGGTCTAGTGGTTAAGTGTTCGCGCGCGAGACCGATAGGTTCTGGTTCTGAATCTCGTGGATGTGTATTACTGGGGAGTCCCACGATAGGAGGAAACGACCGTCCAGCACTTCTAGGTTTTCCATAGTGGTCTTGCTTCAAGTGACTCATGATCTCAACTATTTGAAAAATACTTCTCTTTATCTTCAGAGCTGAATTGTAGTAAATACATAGAATATGAAGTGGATAGTAAGATATTGAACTATATTTAAAATTTCTCCTCAGCTTGTGTTGAATAGTTTAAGCTTTTAATTAGAGTTAGCAATTGTTTATTTTCTATTTGTACAATCTATTTTTAACTTAATTAATTTCATGTATAATCTTGACAAGTACTGACCAGATAAGTCATGTAAATCTAAAGACTTACAAATTTATAATCTCTTTCAATATTTGATAATCATGCATCATGACTAAATATTATACTCAAATGTATGAATGTAAAATTTATTATATGAGGCCTAATATCATGCATTACAAGTTACCCAATTTAATGTTTAATTACAGATAAAATTTAAGAATATGATAACTTTTCATCACCTTGAACAAATGATGCGATTCATAATGGCGTTCACCAATTCAAACTTAATAACGAAACAACAATGGTATATTTGTTAAATTAGTTTATGCTAATAACATAGTGTCAAGTTGAAATATGCTTCAATATCTTATTGATCATTTAACTTCATTATAATTAGTCTTTAATTCGTAATAAATACTTGATTGATTCTATCAAATACGTTGAGTAAAAATAATTGATAAACTTATGAATTCATAAATTATGATCATTTAATGGGTAAGATGATGATTCATATATATTGTATACATAAGATTTTGATCGACTGGATTATGAAGAACTCTACATCTGCTGAGAGAGCACGAAATATAATGAACAGCTCGAAATCAATCAGAAGATTTGGACTTCTCAGATGACCTGACCCTTTAATCCCATACACTCGAACAAATGCAGATGAAGACAACCAGTGTAGCGGAAGCCTTTGCAGCAGTAGGCCTCAACTGACACAAAGAAACAAGCAAGATCCGCACAATACAACATAAAGAACACTAACAAAATCACACTTGATGAAAAACTCTGGAAGATGTGGGATCCTTCACGTACCTGCAAAGTATCAAAGATGAACAAGGAGGATCCGATGCGGACATAAAAGTGAGAATTGGCAAAGCAAGGGCAGCATCCCTACAATTGAAGAACATATGGAACTCAGAACAACTGTCAAACAATATCAAAGTGAGAATCTTCAATACGAACGTCAAGGCAGTTCTACTGTACGGAGGTGAAACTTAGAGAACTACAACAACCACCATCAAGAAGGTACAAGTATTTATAAGTAGCTGTCTACGCAAGATACTCACCATCCATTGGCCGGATACTATCAGCGACACCATTTTGTACGAGAGAACAAACCAGCTTCCAACTGAAGAGGAAATTAGAATATGACGTTGGAAGCGAATAGGACATACATTTCGAAATCACCAAACTGCACCACGCGGCAAGTCATAACTTGAAGTTCTCAAGAGAAACGGAAAAGAGGAAGGCCGAATAACACAATACGTCGGAAAATGGAAGCAGATATGAAAAGAATGAATTAGAACTAGAAATAACTGTAAAGGATTGCCCAGGACATGGTTGGATGGAGAGTGCTAGAGGGTGGCTTATGCTCCTCCACGAGGAATAACAGGCGTAAGAAAGTAAGTGTATATAATATTTTCAATATAGAGTCAATCATGCATAATACCATATACCTAGAATAATTCAAAATAATGCTCGTTGATAATACTGATTACTTCTAATAGAAATTCCATTATCATTATAAAATTTATATTTATCATTATGTATTATTCGATTTGTTAAATACAATAGTCGATTGAATCATACCGGGCACTTTTCATACATAGATATTTTAAACGAATGGCGAAGAAATTTCATCCGAACGTCCATTATACTTTGAAAGAACACGTTACTAATTAGTTGGGAGTGATGGAATCCCATTGTTGATACTAAAGTTAGAACACAGGAACTATCACTTCAAACAATAAATACTTATCGAATACGTTAATAACTGTTGTAATCCATCAGTGGACAACACTATGCTATTTAAAGTTCTACACTTCTGTATCACAATTAATGCCAAGGTATGGGCAAATCCATCTAACAAATCTCAAATAAGATGAAACACACAACTTGGATCCTAAAGTTAGCCTTTATTCAAAACATAATTGCTTTATATATTCCTTCATGTTGAATTGGATTTATCAAAGGAAACTTTTATCTTGATTATCATTTGAATAAACAGTGAAATATTTTTTGCCGAAAGATACCTACAAACTTATTATTATCATTTCAATATTCAATAAAAACTAATTGATTTGAATAACCTTCAGTTTAGACTTTCCTTTTTCCAACCGCCAAATAGAAAACAAACTCAGATATCAACAAATTAATATTTAGAAATGAACACCGTTGGATACCAGCTAACTCAATGGTCTAAAGGTGAAGCAATCTCTGGCAAGAGACTCAAAACCCTGTATTCAAATCTCGTGAGACGGGAACATGGATGCAAACTGCTGAGGAATCCCATAATAGGACGAGACGGCCATCCAATGCATGCCAAGTTTCTCAGTAATGGTCTAACATCAATCGGTTCATGATCTCAATCAGAAACGTAATAATTTCCACATATTTTCTTCTCAAAATAAATGATTATTTTTGGAAATAATAATAATAACTACTTATTATGTCATATATCATATATAAGTAATTCTATTAGATAATACTCAAGAAAGTCATCCCAGAAATAATATAAGACAAGAGAAATAAGAGATAATCAACAAATTCAATTTTGTACAATGAATATAAATAAACAAAATGGTTATTATTTAACAAGATTATTATTCTTTAATGATTATTGTAGATCTTGCTTATATCACTGCTAATACTACTAATATATATATATTACTATTCATTCTGTAATTTGATTGTATATTTTGAATAATGAATAGAATAAAATGATTTTTAATAAAGAAATTAGAAATAAAATTAATCATTATCATCTGAAATATTATTAAGTTCAGTAGATGATAATTCATTATTACTTTTAAGTGTATTATTCTCTGTTATTTGTCCGATTGTTGTTGATATTGTTGTGAATACTGTATTCAATGAAGGTTTATTCCTTACTTCATTTGATTTAATAATGAGAGATGATGGTGATGATGATGATGATGATGATGATAATGATGATGAAGATAATGTTGAAGACAAGTTCGTTGAAGTTGTTATTGCTGTTGTTGTTGTTGCTGTTGTTGTTGTCGTCGTCGTCAATATTAATGGTGGCGGGGACGACGATGATGATGATGATGATGATGATGATGATGAAGATGAAGATGATGATGCTGATGTAGAATGTTTTTGATGACTCAACTTTCCACATATTACATGATTATCTTTAAATGATTTCATTAATTTCGTTTGATTATTATTATTATTATTATCATTATTAATAGTATCATTATAATTCAATTGTGTATGAACTCCGTTTATTGATTTATTACTAGATAATAAATGTGTTTCATTTGATGATGATTTAATTGGAGATTCTGATAAAGTTTTACAAATTACATTTTGAGGTGATAAAATATCAGAACTATCATATTGATTATTCAATGAACATTGTGATATACTATTACGTGGAATAATTTCTATTTGACAATTATTTATTGTATTCTTATTGCAGTTTGTATTCATTTTACCATTGAATAAATGATGAGTTGATTTATTTTCTAAAATATTACTATTATTCTCTATTTGATCATAACGAGATAATTGATCATTAATGAATGGTGTTTTACCTAATATTGCAGTAATCTCTGAGCTAACAAATGACCATGGATATTTAGAACCAGGTAATACACATTTTTTACCACTAGGGCAATAAATTTCTAAATTTTTCATATGATAACTCATATTTATATTTGTATTTGTTGAATGATTATTATTATGAACTTGATGTTCATTTATTATATTTTCTATATAAATTTTAGCACATTGAAAACAAAATCTATGTTCACTATTAGCTGGACATTGTACAAAATGACTACCTTCTAAATGACGTGGACATAAATTACATAATATTCGTTTATTTGGTGATTTTCTATGTTGTATTAATGGTTTCCATTTTTTATATGGATCTGTTAATATGTTATTATTATTAGTAGTAGTAGTAGCAATATCATTATTTTTAATTCCATTTAATTCATTATATGATAATGTAATAGAACTATTATCAATTCGTGGTTGTTTATTACTTATATCATATAATTGATTATTGATAATTTTATCAGTAGTATAATAATGTGATTTACGTTTTTTCGATATATTGAATTCATCTTCTATTATATCATTTGTTATATTCATTTGTTTTAATAAATCTTTCGATAATAATTGTGTTATAATATTTGTATGTTTTTGTATAAATGGTTGTGATATTAATTGAATAATTAATAAAATTAAATCAATAAATGGTGCCCATATAATTTGATTCATATTATCTCTAGCTATTTCATATTCAAATTGATCAATAGTTAAATGAATTTCCCCATTATCATTGATCTGATTATTATGATTATCATGAATAGATTTTGTATCGATTAATTTAATCAATTGATTAAACCCATTACATATATTAGATGAACCAATAGGATATTCAAAATACATCATATTTATTAAATTATTTTGTTGTAAATAATTATGATCCTTTAAAATGGTATTATGATTAAATCCTAAAAAATAAGCTTGAATCATTGGTTGATTATGTAATCGTATTAAGATTGGTAATTTTAAATGTTGTGCAATTAATAAATGTGCTTGTATTAAATTTATATTTAATTTAGATAATTTTTCATTATTATTTATATTTTCATTGAATAATAATGAATCATTGAATATTGAATTCATGAATTGTTCTGATGAATTCAAAGTATGATCCGAATGAATTTTATGTTGATCATTGAATTTATTCATGTTATTAGTTAATGAGATTTCATTATCATCATTAGTTAATAGTAATGAATTTGATCTTAAAAGATTACTAATAATTTGTAAATATGTTGTTAATAATTTAGGATTCCATGGTGATTGTAATGTCAAATCGGAATTGAAATGAGTTTTTTGTTCTATATTTGATAAATCAATAGAATTATTAGTTAATTTCATTGTATTTAATGATGTTATCTCCTCTTCATTTGAATTTGATATATCCATTGTTGTATTAATATTTAATAATGATGAATGAATTAAATTATTTAATAAAATATCATTAGGTGATGATATAATAACACGTTTATTAGGATGATTGAATTTATATTGATTTTCTATTGAATTATCATTTATTGATTTAGAATTATCGATAGAATCATTGAAATAAATAATTGGTTTTGTATTCATATTACTTAATAATGATGAATTAGAATTTAATAATGATGGATATGTTGAATATTTTAATAGATTCATAAAAATCTCTTTTAAACGATTATCATAATTGGAAAGATTAGTTTGATTTCCATTTAATTGATTTAATAAATTTTCATCTTGTATATTATTTGAAATTGTTGATGATGTTGAAGATGGTACTATTACTTCGGATCCAGTTTGGATCATACTATTATTGTTATTATTATTATTATTATTACTTGTTAATATGTTTAAATCTTTATGAATTTCATCATTTGTCTGATTATCATTATTATTAGTTAAATAATGTGAATCAATAAATCGATTGATTTCAGAATGTTTACTCAATTGTGTTTTAAATAAAACATTTTTGTTTAAATCCAATGGAGATTTACTTTGTTCTATATTTAAATCATTGATAGAAGTATTATTACGTTCATCTACTGTTGTTGTTGTTGCTGTTGTTGTTATGGGTATATTCAATTGAGATTCATCTAATTTATCATTGATAATTCTTTGAGAATAAATACGTGGTAAATAATGCATTTTCATTAATTTAGCTCGATTAATAACACATTCTATTCGATCAGCTCCTTCATAATTTACACATCCACGACATACTGGTTCACTAAATTCTGATAACATTGCCCATGGATAACGTGGTAAATCACAAAGATAACATTGTATACGTGTAGGACCATAATGATGCATTGTATTCAAGATTTCCGGTTGTTTTACATTCATCATAACTAATGTATTATTAATTAATTCGATAAGAATATCACTGAATAGAAAGAAAGATCTTTTGAAACTTGAATTAGATATTTATTTTAAACACATAAAAATCATTAACAAATATGGATAGTAAACATAATCACGGAATCATCGAGAAAATGACTCGCTTATTTTTAATATATTCAACACTAAATCATTTGTCGTATCCTGATTGGTTAATCATTTCGTCCAATTGTTTATCAGCTTTCACGTTATTTGAAATTAATTTTGTTTAGTTCGGAACCATAATTGAGATTAAATTTTTTTTGTTCTTTATCTAAATGAATTAAGTGGTAGGATGAATATTGAACAATAGATCATTTATTTTAGATCATATTCCAACTGTCGTTGCCACCTTGATGTGGTGGTCGGGCTTGCCTATTGTGATGAACCAATCGAGCTATACTGGCTGGAACAATCGTTCCTGAAGCCTCCTACCATGCCAGATAGGTCGGTTGCAGAACGCTATGACTAAAAGTAGCAAACTCAAGGTCCGAAGGTGAAGTCACACTACTGACTGTACAGAGGTGTGACGGCAGTAAGATGTTTTCTTCAGACAACTAGCATAACAGCAATACTAGCTTCCCACAAGCAAGGGTGGGGCTAGAAAAGGTCGACCCTATAAATACACACTTCGTCTTATCCCACGAATCTTCGTCTTCGGCGGTAAGGTCTCAACAAGTACGGAGCTAAAATGAAAACTACTCACAAACCGGTCGTGTGTGACCGACCTCAATCAGTTGTTCCTTGGGCACTGTGGTCACGCTCCCAGGTCACTAAGACCACCTCTAATTCACTTTCCTTTTTGGGTCCCCCAGAAGAACCCATCCACAGTGTGGGCAACCGGGAAGTGATAACTGCGCTTATACCTTTAATAGCGCTCAAGACTGACTGACCTTATACGCAATCTTTCTTTTATACATTACTTCCATACAGACCTTCAATGCAATGCTAGAAATCATTATTTTTTGTGATATGATGAACTTCATGTTGTAAACTCAAGACTCGTTTTTTTAGTTAACAGAGTATGAAAGTTTGTATATCCTGCGAGGAGAAACTAGTAATTATCAATTTTGTAAATTTACGATCGTTTATTTGTAGGCTATATATTATAAAACAGTAGGTACCTATAGATTAAGTATTTTGCTATGTGATCAGTAGGTTTGATCAATCATTCATCAAACACATGTATTCACAAAGTGTAAATTACCACGACTTTTAGTGTTACATAACCTTGACACACTTAAAGTTTATCAGAATTTCGGTAAACGGTAGGAATTTAGATCTCACGTTTCATCCTATTCGAAACTCATTAGGCAATAATGTCTACAACCTACTGTTTACGTTTCCATCGAAACTCAAGCTCAGTGCTTTTTGCTTCAAACGGTAATGCGCTGTCCACTATTAGCTACATACAAAATATACCAAAATCGTATGACTAAAAACTATTATGAGGCAATCCGTTTAAAATGCGAACACAAAAACTAGAATTGATCGGATGACATTCAGAATATTAAGTGCGAAGAATTACAATCCCTTTCTAATACTAGAATTCACTTTCAAACACGATTAATCCGTCGTTAACAGTTTGTAACATGAAAATGATACGAAAGTTCAAGTAGCTCTTACAATTGACATTTTACTTAAGACGTTTAAACACAATACTTTTTGGTGAGAAGTTATTTACATCATGTGTTTGACAAATATAACCGTCAATTAGTCTTCGTACGTTGTCTATGCCAGTTTCCTCCATTTCAGTCTATTCATTAACATTTGAGTCTTGAAATAAATAATATCATACCGGTTATTATAAACGATGAAAACCTATAAGCATAAACTCCTCCTGTAACTGTTCTAGAGTGACTGCCGGTCCCCAGCCCGGGTAAAGGAGGGGGAGGTTTGACATGGGGTCGGCAACCCCACCCCGTAGAAAAAAATCTTACTAAAATACTCCAACCAGAATAAACAAATTAAAGCATTTAAACTGTGCTCTGGTACTTGGAGGAATAATTATGACGTCTCGTGATGAAAGCTGATATTCTTCGAAAGTCACGTGGCCAGTGCCCTTTCTAACAATCAGAGCAACAAGTTTTATAGGTACATGGAGCGTCCGGGAGATGTAGATGACGGGGAGGACCAGTCAAATAGGTGTGGAAATGAGGAGGTACAACTTAGCAGTACTCAGAATCAGCGAAACTCATTGGACCCAAGCTGAACAGAAAAGGCTAGATATGGGAGAGATGCTGCTGTACTCCGAACATGAAGAGGTAAATGCACCACATACTCAGGGAGTTGGTCTAATGCTGTCAAAAGAAGCATGATACACACTTGTAGGATGAGAATCTCACTGATCCAGGATCATCAAAGCATCGTTCAAAACAGAGAAAGAGGGAATCACAATGAGTGGTATCCAATTTTATGCACTCACCAATGATAGGAAAAGAAGCAAAGACGTTGAAATTGGATAAGAAATACATTTCAAAAATTATCAAACTGCATCACGAGAAAGTCCCTAACTTCGAGTTCTGGAGAGAAACGGAAAAGAGGGAGGCCGAATAACACACTATGTCGGGAATTGGAAGCAGATATGAAAAGGATGAAAAGGAACTAGAAATAACTATAAAGGATCGCCCGGGACATGATTGGATGGAGAGTGTTGGAGGGTGGCTTATGCTCCTCCACCAGGGATAACAGGCGTAAGTAAGTAAGTAATAAACAGAAAACCACTTATTAATAAATGTGAATAGGTGAAACAAGAAATTATTGATAACATTTGTCCATGAAGGTAACTGGAAAAGTTGGTGATGAATTTATTAACTTTCTTGGAAAAAACCTATTTGGTTTACTGAATAAGTGTGAGAACGAAAATAAAGTTGGCATGAAGTCAAGCATTCACATACTTTATCATAAATTATTTAATCAAATGGTTTAAAATATCATTTTGTTAATATTTTGGCTGAATTTTGATCAATCATTGTTAATATATGTACATATTTAGCGGAATACCTCTACGTAGTTATTATGTCACAAGTTTATATAGAAGGAAGGGAATATAGCTTGTACTGGAATCTATCGCACAAATGAATGGCGATCTGGAGTTAGTAGCTAGGTGAATAACGCGTTCATGGTTCTAAGGGGAAAGTACTCAGTTGGGATCACGGAGCGAGCATCAGTCAACCAACATCAAAAGTTGAGAAGAATTTTTTGTGGCAACAAAAATTGTTTTTGACACTGAAACAAAGAAAGATGTTCAAATGTTTCTTTTTAAACTTTCAAATCATCGTTTCTGATGTCTGATAGTAATAGCTTTAGCAATACTCAGAATATCAGAGTTTGACTGTTGATTGATCACTTTGCAAGATTGCGTAGTATTGACCTGATTTCCTGTGTCAAAGAAATATTTGGGGATTGTGTTATATTAAGTGTATCTCCCTCTTGACTGATAACTTTTTAGAACTTATTCAACAAACTTAAGACAATTCTTTCTTTCTTTACAAATAATATAACTTCCTCAGTAGGTATATTTAAATATAATGGACACATTTGATGACAACATGAAAGAGGATACCAGTGGATCTGTGAATAAATTATTGAACATGGCATTTTATGTAGCATTAGTAGATTGGCTGCAGTGTTCTAGGTGATACAATGTCTAGCCTTATACCAACTTTATTTAGTTTCTTTAATTTATTTGCATCTTTGTTATACTATGCTGTTGTGTTTTCGAAAAATACCTTCAACTAAATTCATTCATTTAAGTATTTCTAACTCATTTTGTAATTATAATATTTAACTATTTCAGATTATGAGAGGCTGAAGCGGATTTAATAAAAAATATAATCTGTTCATGTTAATCCTACGTAGATAATTATCGGGTTGATTTGTAGGTGAATGCCTTAACAGGATCTCTAATTTCACTACGTAATTTAATAACATAAGTCTTATTGGTAAGATTAATAATTAATCAGTAATCAATTCCATTTAGGTAGTATTTACATTAAACACACTTGATAATCAATGTAAAATGAATTTATAAAAATCAGTGCTTTAGGACTGTTTCTTCCTTTTATTAGTAGAAAGTGCATACTTACTAGTCAACCGGAACATAATCGTATCTATGTAGTTTCGAATGGTAAGTGTTTTCATTCTTCATGAAATATTGCTGTAATCATGTTACATTTTCTCCGTTAAAATCAATAACTGATCTCAACCAGACCACAATTACAAAACTGGATGCACTGGACAGTTGTTTTGTTCTGTGTTCAAGTCCTGTGTGTCGGGTCATAGATAGGCACTGCTAAGAAAACCCATACTATCAAGAAACAACTGTCTAGTGTTGTTATGTTTTTAATGGTGGTCTAACATAGATTCATTCACAAGTTCAAGAAACATAAAGGAATATTTAGATCTATCTAGATCTCTAGTTCTTGTTAATAATTTCTAAAATAAATATTCTTAAAATTTTCGAACGATATTTTAAACTTTTTATAGAGACATGTAATGTGACAGGTAATCGCTTCTTGTGTGTAAGATGTTCTACATAACTCTAGGAGTTATATCTGATATTTTTCACTAGCGAGTACATGATTGTTAGGTTTTACAATAACCTGATTTGATTGAAGTTAGACATTAACATCATTGAATGACAGCTCAATGATATAAAGGTTAAGCGTTCGCACGTAGAGCTGAAGGTTTCAATGTCGATCTCCGTATGCGGGTTGTGGATCTGCACTGTTTCGGAGTCCCATATCAGGACAAAACGACCGTCCAGTGCTTTCAGGTTCGTAATCGTGGTTCGGTTAAGATCAGTTTGTGATTTCGACTGTGAAAATGCTCCAATCTCTTATGTCAAATATAACAATATTTGGTTAATTAATAACGAAACTTTGAAAACCTACTTTTCATTAAACTTGAAATCATTTATTGACAAGTTTTAAATTGAAAGTCGTCTCTTTTTTTAAAAATTTGAGAAAGGTTTTCTTTTCTTACTTAGATATCTTATTCATTCCATTAAGAATAAACGGTTCAGAATAGAAAGGATTTATTCAGCCGTTTGAATACAAATTTTATTTTACCCGAAATAACGGTTACATATTATTAAAAATGAT